AATTCAGAGCAAAGATGTTCTGAATTTGACAAGTATCGGTAGTTGCTAAAGACTTGGTATGGTGGATACCTTTTGTTTGCGCGACAAAGTCACATGGGTTGCGGAAATAGTCGAGGTTTTGAGTAGTTTTCTAGCTCACATAATGCACTGCATAATTAGAGTTGTGCATTGTTGGGGACCATGCGTGTAGTTCATATAAATAGATGTGTCCAAGCTTGTTTACAGTCGCCGCTGCTAGGACAGGTACTGCTAATTGACTCTACGATTGCATTTGGCGAAAATCGGACTTGCTTATCCTTTCCATCACCCTTTGAAATTTCAAAACGTCTCCCCTAATATATCATTTCAGAAGCAACGCTGAGTTCATTCTTATCTTCATTGCAACAACGAATTCCTGTCTTCATTATGTATCCTTATACACCTGGGTAAGCCATTTTTTATTCACTTTAAATATAAATTTTGTTTTTCGGGCTGACTACGCTGTGCCATCTAAATTATATTTTGCAGAGCTGGGTCAGCTGATCATCTACAACAGAGACTCCAGAGGGGAGATGATCTCGCTCTAAATCACTCCGGAGAAGACCCATCAGCACCTGAGACAACTTCGAATCCAGGTAATAGGAGATGTCGGCTGCCAAAATGATCTTTTTCCACCGTTGTTTTTGCTTGGTTGCTGAACCGCTATGTTATCTGCATCCGTGATCGTGAGTGTTCGTTATCAGAGGGGCTCCACAAAGCATTGGCAAAGGTGATGCCTCACCTTCCTTTTCTATACTGCAGCTGAAGACGATTTGAGTATATGTTACGAGTTTTGTCGGAAGATGAATCGATGTAGATTTTGTTTCGCTTAATTTAAGTGATACGACAAACAAAAAAATTCTTCAAAGTCAATCGACGAGTTTTTGAAAAATTGCATAAAGTGAATTTCTGTCATTTTCTCTTTCGATTCTGTCTTCAGCTCCTCGCACCTGCCTCAGTTATCTTCCATCTTTTTGCAAAAAAACTCCTCTAATAGATATAAAGATAATTTAATATTGTTTTATAAACCAAAATTATGCTAAAATCTAAAATTAAACTTTGCAATGCAATGCACCCGAAAAATGTCCATTCTTTTCTCAAATCTTTTATTCCATTAAATTTGTTCATTTTCTTTTAGAGGCTCTTATGGGTGAACATTCTCACTCTGCCCAGAATGGGAGCTCTAGAACATCAGCATCAACTTCTGCATTGCGTAGAAATAGGTATCAT